TACTTCCTCCATTTTCCAAAGAAGTTTCATTTGCCAGTGTTTATGCAGGGACAGCTGTTGTTTGGAAGCTGCAATCTCTCGACGAAAAATATTTTTTGGCTCTCTTTAGAAAATTTGTTTTGCTGGTATTGCATGTTACACAACTTCAGCTCACACAATATTTACACTCAACCAAGTACCAAAATACGTCTATGCAAAATGCTAAAGGGACACAGGAATACGCCGTTGCTCCGTGCCTGGGGCAGGGCAGCTCGGCAGCTGCTTGGAGCACGCGGTCACAGCGGTTTCCCCACGTCGCGGGAAGCGCTTGCTGAACGCTCTTGCACGCCTGCCCCCGGCGGCGGACTGCCGAGGGGCAGCGATGAGGTGGTGCTTCTCCTCGTGAGACCTGCTCTTGGCAAAGCAAGAGAAGCGCCCAGGTGCAGCTCCTGCGCACGCTTCCCCAAAGCCAAGCCCGAGCCCCGATTACCTTTTCCACACCTGGATATCATTTCCTTTATATAGGCACATAAAATCAAATCCCACAGGCAGGCCAGGTAGTATTTAAACATAATCAAACAAGGGACAAAAGGCTTGTAAAAACCCCTATGGATCCGGAGGAAAACTCACTGGAAAAAGATTTGTTAACACATAGATGTTGTTGGCATGCTCAGCAAGAACGACCTCTGTAGTCTCTAGACAAGAAGTAAAATTAGCAATTTTGAAGGCAGTAGCTCCCGGACACCTATGATACATTTGTCACAGTTGCCCTTGATTGTGTAATTAATCTCTTTTTTCCTTCTTCTGACTTTCCAAGATTTCTTATGGGAATACTTCACAAAAATATATGGAGAAAAGATGGGTTTTTTCCCCTTTCAGAGCCACTGAACTGCCATTTGGTGTATTTATTCCTCATGATCCACCCAAGTCAGACGGTCAGCGATTCCTTTTGCTCTCAGTGACACAGCTCCCCTTTTCAGGAAGCTCTGAACACACTGGGTGAAACACAAGAAAAAAACTTCACCAAATGATGGTATCACTCCAGAGGAAAAAACACATTTTTTTCTCAGTTCTGCACTTTTAGTCCCTCATCAGTCCCATCGACTCAACCAGTGATTACAGCAGAACAACGAGGCAGTCCAGAAGACACTGCTGTACAACACTAATTCTAAATTTATAACTTTGCTGCTGTCCCAACAAGGCATTTGTGGAAACCTGCTGCCTAAAAGCACCCTTCTCAGTTAGCATTGGCTAAACTCTCCTGTAAGCCTTCTCCTGCCAGGTAATTCTTATCAATCTGTTCCTTAATCTTACCTGAGTGCTTCTTTAATGTGTATGGTGGTAGTTTAACTACTTCGTTGTAATTTAAAATATTTTAAAAATAAAAGACACAGAAAATAATTACATCCGGGTGTAACTCACTTCAATAGCCGCTATTCTAACCTGATCTCTGGATATTTAAATTGTCTGGGAGTCATGCTTCTCCCAAGCCAAACCGCCCCAACGAGCAAGCATTTGTGAGCATCCCATGATTTCACAGCTGCTGGGAAAAAAAAAAAAAAAACCCAAACATCGAGCAAACTTCTGGAAAGGGTAATTAATTCATTCTATCTGTTCAGTTATAATATAGTGGAAAATGACCCAGATTTATTCTAGCAGGGACTTGGGGGTTGCACAGCTCTTTTTTTCCATTGCCTTGGCCAAAACGTTTTGCCTGATGTGTCCATCTGTAAGGTTAACGTTAAGAGACGTGGGACGGAATACGGACGGGCATCTCCAGCTCACCTGTCATGGACCTGGTGGTCGCGCTTTCATACAGGGGCACTCCCTCGCCTGCGTTGTTAAAGGCCTTTAAGGAAATTACGTAATGGGAACTCGGCTCTGCGGGAGAAAACAAACAAGGCAAAACAAAGCACACGTTGTTAAAGTCGGATGTGGGATGCAGCAACGGGTAAGCGTTTTCCTGGGGAGAAAAAAAAAAGGAAAAAATAAATAAAGTTAAGCAAACACCTGTGCAAAACAAATGACTAGCACAACAGCTCTCCCTCATTTTTTGTCTCCTTTCCAGGATCTTGACTTACCTCCATCTTTTGGTGCTATCTCAGTCTTCTCTGCGTAAGAGAGCCGGGACTGATTCTCTGCGCGACCAGTCCTAGCTCGTGCCCCCGCGCCCAGCGTTGGTAAGGGCCGTTTTACCCCCTTCTGCCTTACTAATACTGAGCACTTCTCTAACGGGCTCGCCGGGGTACTGACGAAGACCGACTCAGGCTACGCTGTCAATGTGAAGGATGCAGATGACAGTAAACCAAGCTACAAGAGCTAGCTTTGGGGCACCTAGACATGCTTTGGGGCACCCAGACACGCTTTGGTAATTTGCACCTCCTAGCTTACCGCAAGCCTGTTCGAAATAGATCCTCCGATGGAACCGGACTAAAATGAGCAGATCACTTGCGTATTGCTTTTTGCCACTGTTTTCCAAGGAAAACAAGACAAACCATTTTCCTGAGCATTTTATTTTTTCCAGTGGAGAGGTTAATTTTGTTTGCATAGAAGAAACTTGCAGCTGCATATGTTGGCCGCTCATACACGTGGCAAACGCGAGAACTGCCTTCTCGCAGTGCTTTGGTGAAGAAAAGAAATGTTTGTAGGTGGGGAGGCGCTTAACAACGCGACACTGCAAAAGACCTGCAGCAGATTTACGTACTGCATCTACATTAATGCCAAAAGAGCTCAGCATGATTAATATTATTACAGTGAGTCTGAAATGAACAAATAATCTTTAAGTACTTGCTGTATGTTGTTACTAATATCCTTCCCACCCACATATTTTGTACTTAATTTTATGTCCAGTAGAAATGGAGATATATTTGTTTAATATTCAGGTAACTTCTGTGCTTATATCCCAAAAGAGCTAAACTTTAGAAATTGCCAAATGAATGACTGCTGCATTAATAACTCCCTACACTAAATATTGTATAGCTATTAATTCAGCTGGTATTCATTGTAATATCATTAGTCATGGGGAAATTATTTTGTATTCATAGAGATGTAGTATATATTTTCATATGATTTCCACTATCTATTAGCATACTACTTTTAATTTCTAATTTAAGTGTTGTGACTCCAGATTCCACATTAAGATTTATTTATTGAGCTATGAAGTCATTATTTAGCTGAGCATTTAATAATGTCAGATCCTGTAGTTTCTGCATAAGAAAAAGAAATTCATATGCACAAGCCTGGCTTGCCTCCATCCCTACTATAGCTTCTTTCTTCGATTGACCTCCCAGCTGTTGTGCCTAGTTATTCATGTTGAAAGATGCCTGTGATGGAGTTATGCAAGGGGTTAACACAGACCATTCTCCAGTGTAGGGCCTGGTAAAATTAGGGAAGGGTACCGAAAGATGAAGCTTTAGGACTCTGAGACTTATCAAGTATTTGTTGGTTGACTGGTATTACAGAGGGGCAAATTTTGCATCTTATTTTTCCCTAAATTTTCAGTAACATTTTAAAATAACTGTGCCTCAGCATGTTGCTATGCATTTGTTATTCTTACACTAATGGATGGAAGCAGTGAACTTTAAGTGACGACATTTAGAGAGCACATATGGAGACGGACAGTGGAATTCGTCTCTCTTTTTAGCTGTCTGTGTCAGGCACACGGCTTAGTCGCTGTCCCTACAGCGACCGGGGAGACAGGCACCTCTGAAGGACAGTTCATCACAGGCTAAGATAGGCTTTTAAGAAAGGTAAGATGAATCAGCCTCTAACTGAGGTATATCTCTCCACTGATTATAGCAAGAATAGAGACATCTGGACTTTATGTCTAGTCAAAATACATCGGGAATTCCCAATAATTAATAAGCAAAACGAGTGACTTACTACTAATTTGCTCATGAAAAATGTACTCACAGAAATTGATAAATTAGTTGGAAAAAATGTGATAGCTGCACAGAAAATTCAAAAATGGAGATGATATTGTCAACACATCCTTCATTACAACTGCCCATACAGCACAATACATAGTCCACCAGATATTATAAATCAAACAGACGAACATTTGATTAATGTTTATAACTAGGTTGGGTAAGATTACGTTTGCAAAATGCTAAGATTTGGATGAGGATGCAATCTGTAGCTTTCTGCTAAAAACATGAAAAAATCAGGTGATTAATTTGAGTTGCTGCTAACTGGAGCAATAAATAATTGCATTAGTCTCCTTTTAGATAAGAGGAAAAAAGGCAATTTGCTGTAGTACAGCATTTGAACATAGTATTAGAGTTGGATTTAGCCTAATGCAATGAAAAAGTGAAAAAGCAATAATAATATCATATGGCAAATAGTTGCTTTTTGAACTGTATTATTTATTAATAATACTTCTGGGGCCATTGCAGCGCTCTCTTTGGAAAAATGCCACTCCCTGGAGTGGGAGTTCAAATGAGGAAAGCTTTTAAGTGTAAACCTCCGAATAACGGCAGTGGCTAATGGAACAAGGGATGTTAACCTTCCTGGCAGAAACACGGAGAAGAAGCAAGGAAGAGACAGGGACTTTTAAAAAAGTTAGTCACAGTACAGTTAGAAGAATTCAGAGGTTAACTCTGAATTTTTCTCCATAAACTACTTTTCATCACAGTGAGGAAAGCAACAGTATAACCACGGTATTATAACTTGCGTTTGCTATTCTGGAGCAGGAGCAGAAGAGCATTATACACTTTTTTTGTTTTCTAGTAAAATAAATCTCTTTAGGGCTTTGAGGAAACCAAAGAACTCAGTTCTCAGAATCAGAGCACCAGCCCAGAATCCACCATGTCGATATTGGTATGGAGCATCTTCTGGAAATAAAGATGTGCTGTGCAGTTCAATTTAAAAAAAAAGAAGTGAAAGAAGCCCAAACTAAGCATGAACAAAATTAACTTCTTGTAGTGACAGATGTTGCCACTGGAAGAAAAATAATCAACAAATAGCAACTCATTCAAGATATCACAGTTATTTTCTCCTTTAAGAGAAGGGTAAAACTGGGACCTCTCTATGGCCATTATGTGTGGCCTTTTGACAAGTACTGAGTTTTCATATATAATTTAGTTTTCTTTTTAAACTGTAAATATAAAATAAATGCTTGACAACTAGACGTGAACTCCAACCCAAGGAAAACCCCTGGCCTTAAACAGCAGTGGCATAAAGATGTCAGTGCTCTCAGCTGACCTTCCAGTTTGGCTCCTTTGTGTCGGAAGTCAAAGTTTGTCCTCAAGCCTTCCTCTCACGTCCCATGTTAATGATTGCCAAACAGGAGGGACCTGCAGAGCGCCCCCGAGCAACACCTGGCGACCTCTGAAGCTGAGATGGAGTTTCTTGATCTTTGTGAAAACCTTGCTCACCTACCATGACCGCACAGAACTACCTTAAGGCTGCTCCCTGTCATAAATAACGTCACTGGTATCCTGTAATTAAAAACCATTGGAAGCCCTTTTAATGTAATCTAAACAATAAAATAACAATGCAGGTCAGCTACAAGTTCAAGCATCTTCGCCTAGCACCTTTAGGAGCCTTTACTGATCCCAGTGGACAGTGAGGCGTGAAGGGAAGCAGCAAGTGGTTTAGACCTGATTGCTTTTACCCTGACTGAGCATCAGCAAGAATTTCTGACTACAGTACAATAGCACACTCACGCTGCCAGAGCTCGCTTCAGAAGAAAGCTGCCATCTTCTGCTCCTTTTCCATTAAAAATCTGGTTTAACTGAAGGCTTATGGAGAACTTGCTACAGCAATCTACCCTTGGGAGGGTAGAGAGAGCAGTGAGATCTCCATTATAAGAAACAGCTGTGGCCTCTCCACAGACGAAGTGGAAACAAAGATATCTTGTCAAAACAGATGGGGTCTGACAAAATCCCGCAGACAAATGACAAGCCACAGGCTGTAGCGAGGGAAATTCACATTAGTTATTAGTTTAAGAAAAGAAGAAAATTCATCAGGAAGGTTGTCAAACGTTGGAGCAGGGGCCCAGTGAGGTTGCGAAATACCCATTTTCAAAGATGTTCAGCAGTCAAGTGCGTATGACCCTGAGCAACCAGAGCTAACATCGACGTAGGCCTTGCTCCAAAGGAGAGCTTGGACCAGATGGCTTCGTGGGATCCATTCCACCTGAATTAGTCGATGTTGATGCCTCCTAACACACATAGGATGAGGCAGGAGACCGTCTTTGGTGAGAAGCTGACGGGGAAATTGTAAGCCATCGCACTCGCACGGGATCCTTCTGCTCCTCTCTATTGCTATCACGCTTCACCAAAAATCACATCGACACCCCTTTATTAGTGATGCAAGGAGTGGAAAACACAAATGGAGGATTTAGCTGCAAGCAGAGGAGCTTCTTCAGGAGAAATATGGCTCCTTTCTAAAGCCTCTACACAGCCCTCTAAAGGGCAGAAAAGGAGTCTAAATCCAAGTCAAAGCCAGCTACCAAAGAACAGCCTAATTTACTCCTGTCTGGGTCTGGGAAAACATCATACCCAGTAATCAATAACACCAGTATCAGTTGCTAGACCTGGTAACACCAGCTTATTGACAGGAAGAGGTAATCTATCAATAGCACGAATGTTAAACTGAAGTATAAACCCCCACAGCCAAGGGTTATCGAATCCGGGGAAATGAAGAGATTAAGGGACTTGAACGTCATGGTCACAAGTAGGGTAGTTTTCCTGTAGTTTAGACCTGAAATGGAGCTTTATAGCTAGGGCTAGGGCTGCCCAGACTACTGGGACTACATGAACGTTTCCAGGAAAATGAAGGCCTGCCTATACGCACTAAGGAGCCCAAAACAGTGTCCAACAAAGTTTTCAGCTAGGAGTACCACAAGGCAGAACTGCCGCTAAAGGTCTTGCTGGCTC